GAACAAAGCACCATGGGAAAATGAAAGCTGAATCAGAATGAGGCCGGCCCCCGCAGCCTGGTGGGAACATTAGGACATGTATACACATCTTCAAGGAGGCTGGCCAAGAGCCATCGGAGAGTCCAGAGAAAAAACTTGAGTGGGGGTGTGCAGGAAGAGGGACAATCACTTCTTGCAGGAAGATCAAATTCAGAAAGACTTTCTGGAGGAGGTGGTAATTAGTGGTGAGCCTTGAAGGTGGGGTGTGTGTCTGGAGAACATGGTGGGGAGAAGCGTGCCATTCCACTGGAAAAGCAGGAAGGGGCTGGGTATAAAGGACCCTGAAGAGGTCTCCCTAGATTGAACTTTATTCAGCTGGAAATGGGGAACCTCTGGAGGGTAGGAGTAAGAGAGTGATATTCCATCGGGGGCAGTAGGAAGATGGGACTAGAGGCATCATGGAAACCACTAGTGTCCTGGAAGGAACTCTGGAAGTGTAGTGGTTAGGAGTCTGGCTGCTAACCTCAAGGTCAGCAGTTCGAAACCACCAACGGTTCAATGGGAGAAAGATGAAGTCTTCTGCTCCTGTAAAGATTTACAACCTTGAAAATCCTATACAGGGTCACTATGAGTCGGAACCGATTCCATGGCACACCACCACCACCACTCAGAATATCCTAGTGAGCTAGCTATGTTACAGGGTGCAGTGGGAATGTGACAGTTCCTACTCCCCGTGAGCTCTCAGCTCTGTGAGAACCATGCAGGCAGTGGGAGTGCATAAAGAACAGGGGTCCAACAAAGAATATCAGGATTAGCAATAGGCCCTACCCCTCACTCAAACCTCCAGACCCAGCTTCCCCTAGTCCCCACCACATCTGGAGGACCTCTGAGTACCTTCAAGAAGAATGGTCAGTGGGCCCTCTCTGACCTAGCCTTTAATAAAGTCCTGGTGTGGGGCTGTAGGATAAGCACTGATTGAAAACCACAAGGTCAGTGGCTCAAACACACCAGCTGCTTCTCTGAAACCACATACCGGTGGCTGTGAGTCAGAACCAATTCCATGTACGAACAACACAGCAGAGTATTTAATGTCCAGCAGAGGGGGCTAGTGATCCAGGCACGCAAAGAAACGGAGCTGCACTCAAGGGGGGATGCGAGTGTCCTCAGCAGGAAGTGAAGTCTTTGGTACTTCATTCAGCCTCCATACAAAGTGAAGAGAAGGAACTTTGGGTCCCTTTTCTATTCCATGAATGAAAATAGCTAACATTTATATTTTGCAATGTCGGTTCCGACCCATAGCAACCCTGTACAGGGTTTCCGAGGCTGTAAATCTTTACGGGAGCAGAAAGCCTTATCTTTCTCCCGCGGAGTGGCTGGTAGTTTTCAAACTGCTGACCTTAAGGTTTGCAGCCCGATGCGTAACCACTACGCTACCAGAGCTCCTTTTGCACTACTGTATGGTAAACATTGAGCAGCTGATGTCATCCTCACAACAGCTCTATATAATGAAGGGGGTACTGTTGTTTACCTTTATTTCACCGTTGAGGAAGCTGAAGCACAGAGACGTTTAGTGTCTTATCTAAGGTCACACAGCACTGTCTAGTAAGTGGTACCCATACCAACATGACACAATGCTGCCCCCACAGGCAGAGCTGTGCTAGAGCATCTGTTCCTATAATCTGTGTTGACCACCATATGGGGATGTGGGGTGGAGTGGTACAGAACCCAGCCTGGTTCCTTCCTCCCCCTTCCCCACCGGAGCTCCCCGTGAGGTATTCCTCCATCCAGAGCAGAGGTTCCCCAGGACTGGTCTTTCAGAGTTCCCTGGAAACTTCTCTCACTTTTGAGGTGCATGCAGCCTCTGAGGTTGTGCTGAGTGTAAAGTCTCTAGACCTGTTTGATTCTGGTCCTAACTCTGCCCCTCCCATTCCATGTTACTTGGCCTTCCCTGCTAAGGGGGTGGGTGGACCAGAAGACATGGAGTCCCTTCCAGCAGGGACCCTGGAGGATGCATGGACAATCAGCTCTTTCTTTAGTGACTGGGCCTGGAGGGTTGTGAGCGAATATGAAGACATTTTGACTTTGCTGCTTTAGGGAAACCCGGACTAGAATTTAGTGTGAACTCTAGCAGAACCCGGAGTCCTGGTGTGGAACAGCAGGGTAAGCACTTGACCTCAAGGTCTTCTTTGAACTGTGAGGTCAGTGGTTCAAACTCACCAGCCGCTCCTTGGAAACCCTGTATAGGCTCGCTATGAGTCAGAACCAACTAGAAGGCATTTAACAACAACAACAAGGCCCCATTTTACCTGCAGGAGGTCTTTGGTTCTCCTGTCCCTTGTCCCTGAGGATCTAAGCCCATGTTTCACTCCCATCTCCCACTGTCAAACTAAGAGATGAACAGATGTGTCTCTGTCCAGTATCCACTTGGGCGACCCACCCTCCTTCCTGTGGACAAGACCCCACCACCCCTGACCTCACCCACCAAGAATGCTAGGACCCCTGAAACCACAATGGATATTGAACTAGAACCCCCCACCTCCCGCCTCCTCACCCCCTCCCTGTCTACAAGAAGGAACATAGAATGCCAGTTTGATCAAAACTGGGCACCAGAAGCAGGTTTCAGAGGTCTTTTGGGCACTGCTCCATGAGCCAAGTATTAAGGACCTCACTTTACTCCTTGGGAAGACATGAGGTGGAGAGAGGAGTAGCTGCTCTCAAATGTTTGTGTCTATGGCATTTTAGGGATGTGGTTAAGGTTGCCAGGTTTAGCAAATTAAAAATACAGAACATCCTGTTAAATCTGAAGTTCAAACAGAAAAGAAATTTTAATATAAGTATGTTCCAAACGGAGCCCTTAGGTAACTATTAGCCCAAAGGTTAGCTGTTCGAGCCTACTCGGAGGCATCTCAGAATAAAGGGCTGGCAGTCTACTTTTGAAAAAAATTAGCTATTGAAAACACTATGGAACCAAATTTTACTCTATACACATGGTGTTGCCATAAGTTCAGAATTGATTCAACAGTAACTGATGTTCTGGTGGTGGTTATGTGCCGTGGAGTCGGTTCTGACTCAGCGACCCTGTACAGGGTTTCCGAGGCTGTAAATCTTTGCAGGAGCAGAATGCCTCATCTTTCTCCCGTGGAACAGCTGGTAGTTTCAAACTGCTGACCTTGAGGTTCACAGCCCAATTCATAACCACTATGCTACCAGAGTTCCTTCTATGTCCCAAATATTGCAGGGAACATAGGTATACTTTTTTAAAAAAAAGTTATTTTTGACCTGAAAATGAAATTTAACTCGGCATCCTATATTTTGTTGTAGATCTGGGTCAGGTAGATTTTTGTGGTTTTGAGGGGGCCAAGTCAGTCTACCAGACCCTTACAGAGTTCTTCATTACCTTCACCTCATCAGTCCTCCCAGGCTCCCACATCTGCTCTTCACAGTTCCCTACACACTTGTCTGCACCCTCACTAACCCAGGATACTCCCCTCCTCTAAACTTACCAGTTCCCTCTCTCCTGCAGGGCTCCACCTGGGCAGGATGGCAGGAGGTGTGAGGGGCATACTCCAAGCCTTGGGGTGCTGATTCACTGGGGCCTGGACAGGGACAGAAGGGTCCTGGAAGCCAAGTGAGCAACAACTTTACTGAAAAGAAGTAACATACACCAACGCTCACTAGACTAGGGCCTCCTTGAGAGAAAGGCAGATTAAGTCCAATGTCAAGCATAAACAGAGAAGAGAAGAGGTGTCCCTCCCTCCCCTCCAGCCTCCAATCTTCTTCTTCAAACCCAGAAAAACCAACGTTATCGGCTTGGGGGCAGCAACAGAAGGAAGAGGTCATTCTGTGTGATTAGACCCCAGTTCTTCTGGGTCGGGAGATGAAAAGAATTTGTCCTTTAGGGCAAAAAAAGGAATAAAAAAACAATGAGAAACAGAGACAAGGGGAGACTGATCAGGAGAGTTAGTGAGAAACGGACAAGAGATAAGGAGATCCAGGACCAAACCAGAGCCAGGGGAAGTGCAAACACAGTGCAAGAGAGAAACCGAGAGGGGAAACAGACGCCTCTACTGCTGAGAAAACAAATTCACAGAGAGGAAAACAGAGACGGAGAGAAGCTGGGTGGAGATAGAGATGGGAGAAACGTGGAGAGACACGGCGGGGTGACTATAGCATGACTGGGAAAGATTGAGAGAGACAGAAACAGAGAGAGAAGGGGGCGAGAGATGAGAGACAGAAAAAGAAGAGACGCCGAGAAACACTGCTGTCATCTCACTTTAGACAGTTGGAGATATTTCTCAAGGGCAAAGTCAGAGGAGAAAGAAATACCTCTGGAGATGCCTGTAACACCTTCAGAACGAAGCCTCTCGTGGCGCCCTCCCCTTCCCTCAGGCCCGGGAGCAGTTTCCCCACCACCCACCACTAGAGCATCTCATTTCGGTTCCCTCCCCAAGATCCGGGTTCCATGTCTCTTCTTAGGTCACAAATCTCACCTGTGTCTGCGTGTCTGGCTCTCACCCTGCGCTTATCACCCATCTAGACAGCCCCCCATCCCGCTCTCCAGCCATCTTCCACGGGCGGGAGCTGAGGGCGATCCAGCGCCCGCACCTCTTCGCCACCCGGTGGAGTCCCGCGTTGAGTGTTGCTGCCCCCTGGTGGCAGGATCTGGTAAGCGCCGTGAGCCTTGAGGGCCCGGGCGCGGCGCAGCGGATGGGCGGGATCCGACCCTTTCAAGTAGGGACTGCCTCCTCGGGGTCTTTCCAGGAATGCAGATAGTCCTGCTAGCCCCGCCGCCATTCTGTCCCGACTGCTAACCCATGGAGCAAATGTCTGAACCGTGAAGTCCTACTTTACCCACGAGTCAAGTGGAGGAAGTGCAGGAGTGGACTGGGGACACGAATGTTGGAATGCTGCGTCCATGGTCTCTCTTCCCCAGACCTGGGAAATCTCTGCTTTCCTTGACATCAGTCAGGCCGCCCTCTCCCTTCCTTCTTAGCTAGTTAAACAACAGATGAATCCCCAATATGCCCCGCTATAATCCTCCCCAGGGCCTTCGCCGCCCTAATCTCCATCTCTACCTCCCCCACAAGACCAGGTGAGGACTCCTGGTGGCCAAACCCCTCCCTAATTCTGGGACCACTTAGCGGGAGGAGTAGAAGACTAAGGAGTAATTTAGCAGTTTTTAAATGACTCCATAATCGAATCCATTTTTGGTGCGGCGTTGTAACATAAACACTGGACCGCAAGGTGGGCGGTTCAAACTCAACAGCCGCTCCTCGGAAACCCTATAGAGGATCGCTATGAGTAGGAACCGACTTGACAGCATTTAACAACGACAACTACTTCGAAACCCAGCCAAGCCCCCTCCCCCTCCTCTTCCTCTCGGCGTCTCCAGTCCCGCCTATTCTGGTGCAAGGCTCCACCCCCATCCCGAGGCGAGGCTCCATAGGTGGAGAGAAATGGGAGAGGTCGCGGCCCCGCCCCTCCTTTCCTCCCCCAACTCGCTAAAGCTTTGTGGCCCGCAGGTCAGCATGTCGGACCCTTGGGTCCCGTGCTTACCAACTATCCTGGTTCTCAGTTTCCTGGCCGGCCTCCAACAAGTAAGGGCTTGGAAGGTAACGTTGTTGAATGTTTCGGGTCCGACCCTCTGGGGTCAGGAGCCTCCTAACTTCTTTTATCATCAGAATTTCCTAGCAACCGCACACAATTAGCAACTTCCTTTCTCTTTGTGGCGCCGCAGAGGGAGGCCTGAGTTTCTTCCACCTTTGGGGATCTGGGGTGTCTGATGTGGTCCCTGCCCACCACCCATCTGGGCACCCAGGGCTTCTCTGTGGATGGGGACTTTGACCCCCATATTAATACCGTTCCTTTCCCTTTTGTGTCTGAAAGCACGGCTCCTCTGCTTTGTTCTCCCTGTGCTAGGTGACCTTGGGGGCAGCTCAGCCCTCTCTGTAACCTTGTCTCTGTGTGCCCTAGGGGAGAGGTGCCTCCCTTGTCCTTTGCTTGGAGAGGTTTGTAGGATTCTAGCCTGAGATAGGATTTGATATGGCTGCCCAACCCTTAGGCTCAGGTGATCTTGACACCTGATACCTGGCTTTGAGGCACCCCGCCTCATTCCTCACATAAAAAATCTAAAAGTGATGGGAGTATCCAACCAGCTCTGGAACCGAAGATGATCCAAGAAACAGGATGAACCTAGAACTCTGATTTTGAAGAAAGTCCATGTCCCCTTCTCAGAGTGGTCCCCCTGTGTTATACTTTCAGAGTCTGACCCTGAAGTCCATCCGTGGACCCTGGTTATCGTCTCCTATTCCATACTTCAAATCCAAACCCACTGCTATTAAGTGGATTCTGGTTCATTACGACCCTAAAGGACAGAGTTGAATTGCTTCATAGGACTTCTGAGACTGTAACTTTTTCCTGAGCTCAGGTAGTGTAGTGGTTATGAACCGGGCTGTGAACCGCAAGGTCACAGAAAGATGAGGCTTTCTGCTCCCCAAAAGATTTACAGCCTCGGAAACCCTGTACAGGGTTGCCCGACAGCACTTAACAACAACAACTCTCTCCTGAAGCATACGGTATCTCATTTTTATCCTGAGGACTGACTGGTGGCTTCGAACTGCTGATCTTTCAATTGGGAACTGAAGGGTTGACCACTGCACCACTAGGGGTTTTTCTCTCACTTCAGAAAGCTTAATGTTCCTGCCCAGCCGTGGAGCTATCAGTACCAGGCTGTAGGCTGAGTAACCCTTGGCTGATTCCTCTGGACAACCCCAGTGTAGGTGCTGCTACACCTACAGGGCCACACCAAAAACTTAATTGAGTCACTTCTAATTCATGGTGACCCTATCACACCAGAAGGAAACACTGCCCAGTTCTGTGCCACCCTCACAATTGTTATGTTTGAGCCCATTGCTGCTGCCACTGTGTCATTCCATCTCTTGGGGGGTCTTCCTCTTTTTTGCTGACCCTCCACTTTAGCAAGCATGATGTCCTTCTCCAGGGACAGGTTCCTCCTGATAACATGTCAGAAGTCTGAGAGATGAAGTCTCTCCATCCTGGCTTCTAAGAAGCATTCTGGCTGCATTTATTCCAACACAGATTTGTTTGTTCTTCTGGCAGTCCATTGGACTTTACTGTAATTCAAAAGCATCAATTATTCTATGGTCTTATTCACCGTCCAACTTTCACACACATATAAGGTAATTGAAAATACCATGGCTTGGGTCAGGTACACCTTAGTCCTCAAACTGATCATTTTGTTCTTTAACACTTTGAAGAGGTTTTGTACAGCAGATGTGCCTAAAGCGATACAGCCTTTGATGTCTTCACTGGTGCTTCTGTTAGTGTTTGATTGTAGATCTAAGCAAAATAAAGTCTTCAGCAACTTCAATCATATCTCCATTTATCCTTTTGTGATTTATTGGTCCAGTGGTGAGGATTTTTGTTTTCTTTACATTGAGATGCAATCCATACTTGAAGGCTGTAGTCTTTGATCTTCATCCGTAAGTATTTTTAGTCCTCTTCACTTTCAGCCAGCAAGGTTGTATCTTTTGCATATATTGTAGGTTGTTAATGGGTAGGTTGTATCCTTTGCATATATTGTAGGTCGTTAATGAGTCTTTCTCTAATCCTGATGGCATGTTCTTCGTCATACAATCCAGCGTCCAGGATTATATACTAGGCATACAGATTGAATAAGTATGGTGAAAAGATACATGCTTGGCACACACCCTTCCTGGTCTTAAACTACTCAATATTCCTTTGTTCCATTTGAACAACTGCCTTTTGGTTATGTACAGGTTCTCATGAGCACAATTGTTAGGGTATGGTATTGTTGTTAAGTGCTGTTGAGTTAGTTCCAACTCATAGTGACCCAGCATAGAGTTTCCAAGAAGCAACTGGTAGGTTTGAATCGCTTGTGGTTAGGTATTGTACATGACGCCAATTCACGTGTTAGTCAGTTGAGGTTGCCCTGACACCTGATAAAACTCAAGCTCTGAATCACTCCACATAAGACCAAGCCAGCTGCCATCATGTCGATTCCATCTCATGGTGACCCAATGTGTTTTAGAGTGGAACTGTGTGCGCCAAAGGGTTTTCAATGGCTGCTTTTCCCGAGTTAGTAGCCTAGTACTTGATTGATTATACTACCCAGGGACTCCTCAGACAAAACCATCCCCTGCTTCAAATGGAAGGAGAATCTCTCAGAAGAGTGTCTCCATCGATCTCAATAGAAACTTGGACTAATTTGTTATACCTGTTAATGTCGGATCACCTCTTAGTTGGGAGCCAGGAGAAGGAGGGACTTGGGATCTGAAGAGTGTGTGCCTCTGAGTGCCTGGGCTCCTCAATTTGTCCCCAGTTCTACAATCGCCCCTGTGTTCTGTCTGACTTGGGTGCCTCACCCTCTTTGGATCAATCTTGCAGGATTCTTTCCTGCCACCATCCCCACAAGCCACTTTTTAGGAAAAGGAGGCACTTGGCCTATAACTGAGCATGGTGGTGGTGGTGGTTATGTGCCGTGGAGTCAGTTCCGACCCATAGCGACCCTGAACAGGGTTTCCCAGGCTGTAAATCTTTACGGGAGCAGAAAGCCTCATCTTTCTCCCATGGAACAGCTGGTAATTTCGAACTGCTGACCTTGTGGTTCACAGCCCGATTTGTAACCACTACACTACCAGAGCTCCTACGACTGAGCATAGAAAAGGAGAATCACCCCCAACTATTTTATTTGTACTTTTTATCATAGTTTGGGTGAAAGTTTAAAGAACAAATGAGTTTGCCATTCGATAATTCATACACGTTTTGTACTGTGACGTTGGTTGCAATCCTCTCATAGTGCTCTTCCCATTTCCCCCTTGGGCTCCCCGTTTCCGTCATCTTTCCTGTCCATTCCTGCTTGCTATGCTTTGCCCTTAGGCAAATGCTGCCCCTTGGTCACATAGTTGATTGAACTGAAGAGTACCTCCCTCCCTGACGTAATTATTCACTTAATAGGCCTATCCTTTGGTTGAAAGTTGATCCATGGGAGTGGGTTCAGTTCCAGGTTTGAAGCATGTCTAAGGGTCACAGTCTTGGGTCTCTATCAAACAAGTAAATCTGGTCTGGTTTACAATTTTGACTTGTGTCCTGTATTTTTTTTCTCCCTCTCTGTCCAGGAGATTTTTCTATTGTGATCCTGATTAGAAGGCTTGGGAGTGGTAGCGGGGCACCGTCTAACTTCTCGGGTATCACTAGCACAGGCTGTGGTTGGAGTGGTCCATGAATCCTTTGGACTAATTGTTTCCTTGAGTCTTTGATTTCTTTACTCTTCTTTGCTCCACAAGAGAAGAAACCAATAGTTGCATCTTAGATGGCCTCTCAAAAGCTTTTAATACCCTAACCACTTCTCACCAGAGGAGGATGTAAAACATTGTCTTTGTGGACTATGTTATGTCAATTGGCCTAGATGTTCCCTGAAAGTGGTGGTAAGTCCCTCCTGGGACAGTTTTAGCATAGAACTTTTCAGAACTTTGTCCCCTGTGTGCTCTATAATGTCATTGGATGTATTTGTAGCACAGACAAATAAGAATATGTATGTAGACATTTGTTGTTGTTGTTAAGTGCCATTGAGTCGGTTCCGACCCATAGCGACCCTGTACAGGGTTTCCGAGGGTGTAAATCCTTACGGGAGTAGAAAGCCTCATCTCTCTCCCACGGAGCGGCTGGTAGTTTCGAACCGCTGACCTTAAGGTTCGCAGCCCGATTCGTAACCACTACGCTACCAGAGCTCCTCTGTCAAACCTATATATGAGGGACCTTTGAAAAGTTCATGGAAAAATACCATTGTCTTTTTTTTTTTTTATATAACATTAAATTTTATTCATTTGGAAAATCTGGTGGACTTTGTGAACTAGATACATAAAATGTCAAAAAATTACATTGATTAATATCTCTACTGACCTTATCAGAAGAATCTAAGTATTAGGAAACACTGTCCAGCTCATGGTGACCAGTTTTCCAAAACGCAAGTTTTTGCTTGCAAGTTCAACTTTCATCACAGGCAAAAAAAATTAATAAATAAAAATGTTCATTGTTTTTCTTTAACATTTT